ATATAAATACAAATATATTTATATATTTTGATATATTTATATATATTTATACGTTGGATATGAGGGCGCACTCGACGGTGAAAATATGTGTCGTGTTTATTAGAATATATTTAAAATTAAGCAATTATTATATAATTTTAAATATTTAATTTTTTTAATTTAATGTTAATTTTTAAAAATATATTTTAAATTCATTGGTAAATCATGTCGGTAAATGAACAAATAATTATCGATGAATATATCTATCGGTAACTAATTGTCCATTTACCAACATTATTAATTCACCGACGGATATATCCGTTGGTAATTACTTGATCATTTATTGATGAATATATCCATCGAGTAATTATTTGTTTATTTACCGACAAATATATCAGTTGGTAATTAATTATTCAACGACGGATTTATCGATGGATATATCCGTCGGTAGTTAATTGTTCATTTACTATCAGTAAGACCAAACTCTACAACTATTCTAAATTCGTCGGTAAATATCTATCGGTAATATAAGATTTTCTTGAGTCTAATTGTACGAGAGTTGGTGTTATATTGCATGCAGTTTGAAGATTATAATGTTCAGTAAAATGCATATATATTACTTGAAGATTTGAAATATGATATAATTATGTTTGGTTAATTGTCATGTATGTTTAATTGGTTATGTTTAATTAGTTGTAAATTATTTATCTTAATCATTTGTTAGAGTGATTATTTGATTTTGTTTAACTCATCATATTTAGAGTTTTTGCAAAGTTTAAATTAAGTTCTAATTTATCAAAAAGTTCGTAAGGAAGCTCGATCAGGCATGAGAAATACTTTAATTGATTGCAAATTTGGTTTAATTTGTTATTCTCGCATTAAGGGAGTTTTGTAGTAGTTTAATGAATTAAATTATGAATTTAATCTATTAGATTGTTTTTATGTATTGTGTATTCAGAAGAACATTTTGGTCTATTAAAAACATAATTTAATATGTTAATTTTGTTTAAGCATATTTCATTTAAGAATATTTTTGGTTCATAAGATTGTTGAATTATTGGCAAGCGTACCAAAATTATCAATCGCAATATAGTATTTCGATTAAATAAAAGTCGATCCCACAAGGAACGGTTTCAATGGAAATTCTCAATTATGCTTACTAAGTAGATTAAAACAGATTGAGTTTTGCAAATAAGAGTTGAATTGAAATTAAATGACAAAGAACTGTAAATTGTTGAGAAAATATCAATTAAAGGTACTTAGGATTGTCTTCCTTCCTTATCTCTCTTTTGTAATGGTTATATCAAATATGAACGTCAATTAACCTAACAATGTTGATGTCAACTACTCAAATAATCCATGTTGATTCCTCATACATGAAATTCATAAGAAAACCTAATAAATGTTGATTCCTCACAAAATTAACAGATTTTCCAGCATTAGGGTTAGGTTGTTAAGCAATTGATACATTCATTCCATTCCTGACAATTAACGTAATAAATATTCTTACCGTGATCTAGGGTTCAAGATATATTTTCCAATCATACCTCAAACAATCAAGAATAAATCATTTCAAAGCATAAAAGATAAGAATAACAACATCAAAGCATAGATTAAGATATCAAAATATCACCATGATACAAAAGAGTTTAAAGGAAGTACACCGAATCCTAAGAGAATGAAGTTAGTCACTCATGTTGGCCATTACAATGCTCCAATTGATGAAGAAGTGAAGAATTGATGAAGATTAGACAAAACCCTAACAGTAGTCGTGTCTCCTCTCCTCCAAGACTGCTTCCTTTTCTCAAAACACAACTTATCTTTTTATAAGAGAATTTAGATTGAGTCTCACATCATTTATTCGCTTAAGCGCTCTTCTTTCTTTCAAATTTACTCCAATTATGCTGATAATTATGCTCCTTACTCTTGTATCAAGGTATTCTCGAATCCATCCTATATTGGGAGAAAAATATATTAGAATTAACATAAGTTAAGTGATTTCATAATAATTCAAAGCATAATTATATCAACTTTTTACCACTTAACAAAGATGAATGTGAAATTTTAATCAATTAAAATCATTTCAAGGGAGGACTTTAGTGATTTAAACATATTAGAAGTTTGAATTAATATGTTAAATTTTGAAGCTTTGTTTTTTAGGTATAATGGATTAAAATTTAGTTTGAACCCATTAAGAGCATCAATTCATTATACACTATCTCGTACACTCTTCAAAAGATAGATTAAAAATAAAAACAAAGCTAATTTATTTTATTTAAGAGAGATATATTATGATGCACTTATGGACTTGAAGAATTGATACATTTGTTCCAAGATTAGATCAAAATTATGGTTCACTTTCTAACTCAATTCTTGTTTGAATCAATGTCCAAGTCAATCTTTTTTCATTCTTTAATTGAGGAATGTCGACGTTGACTGTCTTAATAGTATTGTAAGGTTATGCTCTTAACTAGGGTAGTCAAAATTTTGGGACTTGACTAGTGAATGGGTGCCTTCTGATAAAGTTTCATTGTAGGGTGTAAGAATTGATTTCTTATTTATTTTCTTCTTTTCTTGAGGTGTTAGTGTAAAAATTGAAAATCCAGTGGCTTTACTCAATATGGTGTTGGGCAATTGGATATAACTTTTTTTAGAGTTAATAATCGCACGAAGGGATAAAAATAGATTTAAAATTTTAAATGTAATTTCTTGTATTTGCTCTTGTATTTTTTATATTATTTTTTTCTAATTGGAGACATTTTATACATTATTTTTATTAGGAATTAGTTAGTTTATTGGATGGGCCTAATTACACTTTGCATCCTCTTTTCTTCTTAATACATATAATTTAAATTAAAATATTATGCTTTACGAGGGAGATTCTCCTTTAATTATTGCGAATAACTTTTGATTCTCATTTTTAATTTTCACCTTCAAAGTATTGAATCTTCCTTAGTTTATTATGTTAGATTGTGTTATTCTGGACTTATAAATCTAAATTGTGACGTTTTCTTCATTTCTTGTCTTTGTTTTCATTTTTTATTTTCTTTTTTGGTTCTTTTTCAATGGGTGGAAATTTCCAAAAAATGATTATAAATACTAATCTAAATGTTAGATCCGTATCAAAAAGTGAACCAATATAATTATGATGTTTTGTTATTCCTTCTCTTATTATCTTGGATTACATTGTATTTTGAATTTATTATTTATTATGTATTATTTGTTATGTTATTGTGAACAAATCATAAGATTTGTTTAAATTGATAAAATCTTGCATTGTTCAATTCACCCTTCTTAAACTTGTCTTTAAATTTTACCCATCAATACTTACTGTAAACTTGGAAATTTTATTTTTATTTTTCCTTGATTGTCACGAAAATAGTAGACTTAGAATAATAAGTCAAACTTTACCAACTTATACATAATTATTGATGGATAATTGGACTTATTCATTATTTTTAATTGGAATCATATTATGTTAGGATTTACCCAACATATTTTGGAATTAATTGGATGTATATGTTTTAGAATTAATTACAAATTTTGAATATATTGTTGTGAGGAATTAGAAAAGTGAGATTAGTAAACTAAACTTTATTAATTTGTTCTTAACTATTGACACATAATAAATTTTAATAATTATTTTTATCTTCAATTTCAATATATTAGGAGTAATTGTAATTTGAAATGACTCAAATAATTTTTATAGAATTAGTTATGAATTTTAGACCATTAGAGCACACAAACTTTGAAAAATGGACATTCATGTATTATATATTAATCTGGTTTTTTTTTTCATGAAATTTAGTATGTTAGGAAGAATTAGAAATTTGAGTTCATCCTAAAATAATTTTGTGGAACAAAACTTAATGTATGAGATGTTTGGAATTGTTTAAAATTGTCTAGGAAACTAGTTATGAACTTTTAAAGTTAATTTTGTTTTGTTGAAAAATAGATTAGATTGTATTACTTAGTTGTGATAAATAATTTACGTTTTATTTTGTTAATAAATATAATTACGATTGAATGATTAGAATTACATAGGAATATGATGAAACTGTGAATGAGTCATTTGAGCATGATAAGACAAAATAATTATTAGGTAATACGCTCCAAACACATTATTTAGTGATTCTTTTCTTTTATAATTCATTTTCTTAATATAATAGTTAAACTAGACATAATTTTTATAACAACAATTACTTTTAATTCATAAATATTAGGATTAGAATAAAGAAAATTTCTCTTCTCTAAAAATAGCTCCACCTCCAGAAAGAAAGTTCAATTCTTCTTGAATTGTAAAAAGTATATGTTTATTATGATTATGAATGAAAAGTGGTCATACGAGGGTATTTGTAGACTTTGTGAATAAAAACATGAAGATAAGTTTGAACAAATGGTTAGGTTGTAGGGGAGGAAATAAAAATCTTCTTATTCATTATAATAATTGAGAAGAGATGAAATATAACAAAATATTAAATTTTATCATTTACACTTATCAATTAGGCTTAATTGTTCTAATCTCCAAAATATCCATATTTTATTTACTCCAAAATAGAGTCTTCGAAGAAGTTAAATCAAGTCTTTTCAACAAGTTCAATTATGTTCCTCAAGATAAAAATATGGAAGTAAATGATTTAGTCCAAATTGCTTTGGTAAGTGAAAGACTGGAATAATATATAAAAGCGTTTTGTAGTGTACAATGAAAACACGTTGTATTATGGCATCACTCTGCACTGTGGATAGTATTGTAAGTTGAGATTCATGGCATGAAAGTTACGAAACCATGGCCAACAACTCAATATGGATGAATACACAAAGATGTTTCACATAAGAAACCTTTAGTTTTTATGTATTATGTATGTCATAAATCGATGGTATCTCAAATTCCTTTACACATTAGCAAAAAAAAAAAATAATCAAAGCTCTAATAAGCAAACTCATATGCCTTGACACAGAATTTTTTTTGTGAGAAAATTATATAGATCTAGTATCAGTGAGAAAGGGAAGAATTGAACAAACTACTTTCCAAATAGCTTCCTGCGTCTAACTGATGGCTTGACTCGCAAACCAGCTGATTCACCAATCACAACCTCATCTACCAAGTCCTTGAATATAAGTCTCTCAACATCCAACACAACCCCAGGTAAATAGCCATGAAAATCTGTCCAGCTTTCTGAGCCATGCATAACATCTTCACACAGCATACTTTTCAGATCATCATCTTCATCTTCCAAGCACCATTCTGGCTTCTTGGCTTGAATTTTTTCAATCTCAAAGCATAGTTCCTTAAGGAGCTTTTGAGCACTCAAGGTTTTCTTAGTGAGTCTGTTACTGTTAGGTAGATACCATGGCTCTGGGGAGGAGCCTAATTTGGCACCAAGAATCTCATTCACAGAATCAAAGATGAATTTCCGGTGAAATTTCTCTTTGTTCAGCTTCATATTAGCATCTTTTTCGGGGCTGCTTTCTTCTTTTGAAAGCAAGCTACTTGCCTTGGTCTGTTCCAAGACGAGGAATAACTCAGGATTAATGGGATTGCCCGATGAGTGAAGTTGAAATGTCAACAACTCGGAACTCAAATCTCTGAGTAAGAGACCTGAAGCTAATAATATTTCAGAGATGTATCTGTGGTCTGGATTTGTGTTTTCACATAGGGAAGCAATGTAGTCAATTCTAGCTTCATCATGACTGGAGTTCAGCCGTCGAAGCTTCTGAACAAGGTGATCTATGTTCTGTAATTTCTTGCGATTGATCTCTCCTGATCCCATGCTGTGATATGAAAGGCTTTCTGCTGGGTTCCACTGATCTTTAAACTCGTTTTCTTTGGATTCTTGAGCATCATCACCTGCAGAATTTGATATTATAATTAGACAGGTGAAAAGTTTCCACATACTATTAGACAATCATGAAATATACAAGTAATATCTATTGGTCAAATCTTCAGAACAAATTTCAATGAAGAAAGAACAAAGCCAAAGGTTTCTTAATGTCATGGACCCATAATTCTCAATTACTATGGTTAAGACATGTGCTTGCTTCCTAGCTGTCACCAATACCATTGTTACCTTTGACAGCGACTATTGCTTGACGCACACACTCTTCAAATCACTTAAGGCACTTTGAAAATCTAATGATCCAATAGAATGCAATGTTAGTTATAGGGGTCAAATCTTACATTTATTTTTATGCACAAGGGCCAATGTAAGCATGATCAACTTCAAGTTATCAATATTGTTATCACTTGTCAGTCCCTCATTTAAGAAAAAATTTTAACTTTTTATTTGAGGAAATATTTCAAAAATAAAATGGATTAGAGTAGTAAGACACAAATTTGCAACATCCTAAAGCTGAACTTTTTCTGAAGCAAGAAGATTTTGTTCTACAATTTTATTTAGTATGGTCATTATACATGATCTGGTTCTTATTTTTGTATCCTTATTTGGAATACAGAAACTATACCTTTTAAAACTCCAGATATCTGCTTTACAGGGGATGGCACATCATCTCTGTACGCAGATCCATCAAGAACAGAGATAGGACTTGGATGTTCTGGGGCCTTTGTTGCAAGTTCTGCAACTATCTCGTCCTCATCCAACCTTGGGGTTGTTTTCTGAAACAAGCAATATAACACGTTATCAACTGGTAAAAGGAATATGCTTTTTGCCTAAATTTTCAATTTTATCACGTTGTGCTAATCAGAGAGCTCGATTATAAAGATGAAAATGGCTCCTACCTTCTGCACTATGTCTGAAATCAATTGCTTCACAGCTTTCGAAGATGGGCTTTGGTTGTCATCAATTTCAACAGATTGTAAACTACTTGTGACTTCCACATCCGTCTTTGAGTTGAAAGTTAAACTATCTGATTGCAAAGAAATTTCATCCCCCTGGCAACTTAAAGTTCTTGATTCATTGCTTATCTCACTCAGTTTCTCATCACTGTGCTGCAAGTTGAGGGTTTTGGGTCTTTGTTTTCCACCTGGCAAACCCGATTCTGTTGCCTTCTTACCAGATTGCCTTCTGGGTTTGTTTGAATCCGATGGAGGAGCAGGTGGACGAGATCGCTTCTCTAACTCCAACTTCTTCTGTTGTAATCTCGGGCTCACAGTTCCAGAGTGCTTCGCTGAACTTTGGCTATTTTCTTTTGGATGTTGTTGAGACCGAGATTGAGATTGTACAGATCTTGTATTCTTACTACTATTTGCTTTCCTATCAATAGAACTGGCAGAAGCATCCCGATGAATGTTTCTGGGAGACTGATCTTTTGCTAGTCGAGTTGCAGATGTACTGGTTTTATTATCTACATGTACACCACCATTCTGGTATTTCTGGGAACCAGAAATACCACCAATAGGAATGACTGAAGAAGCAGGAATCACAGTTTTCTCAACAAGTTTTGCTGGTTTCATTATCACTATTGGGGATTCAAAAACCCTTGCTGATTCAGATCCCTTTAGTGTGGAGGATAGAAAATTGTTTCTCTGAGTGTTTTGTTGCCTTCCTGACCTAGTATTCTGATTTAGATTGATACCTTTTGGTTCATAGTCACTTTGACTTCCAACAACATTTGGAGCTTGTTCTTCTTTTCTGCTCTCTAGTAGTCCCTTTTCTTGCATTGCTTCAAGTATCTGTTTTAATGCTCTGAGATCTCTTCCAGATTGTTTGAATTCAAGATCCTTCAATCTCTTCTCTATCTCACTATAAACTGAAGGAAAGGAATCTGGTGCTCTTGCTGGAGCTTTTACAACCCTTAAATTCGGTTTCTGGGAGCTTCGATTTCCATCTTGCTGCTTCCACGGTGCTGGTTCAATGGGAAACCTTGAACTTGAGATGGGTTTCATAACTAGATCAGGATTCTTTCTCCGTGGAGAAGCTGGGTCTTTCAAAGAGATTTTTGGAGAATGAGAAACTCGGAGTGGCCTGGTGACTCCAGTTTTTGAGGATCTTGGAAACTGACCATTATCTTGTGCTGAGTAAGTTTCAGTTGAACTTGGTTGAGTGTCACCAGCGAAAGAGGAATCCGGCAACGCTTCCAAGCCCATTAATTTTGCCACAACACCAGGCGGACGACTGGGGGTGGTTGAAGGCTGTTGTAGGGAAGGGAATTTGTCATTTGATGTGGATGTGCCACTGTAAATGTTTCTTGAGGGGTGACTGCCTTTTGAGTCTGAACTAAAAGGGCGTAATGAACCTTCCTTACTATCCAGTGAAAGTCTAGGAAGCTCTTTCAGCTTCGGTGTGGATTTGATGGTTTCTCGTGATTCAAAAGATAAACGGCTTATTTCTTTTCCTTCATAAGCAAACCAAGAAGTATCCTTTGAGATGGAATGCCAGGGTCCATCTTTTACTTCATGCAATGAACTTGGAAGTTCTTTAGTTTCTGCATAATACCAAGGCGCTTCTCTAAGTTTAGCAAGGACTCGGATAGACTCCTTTAGATCAATAGGCACACTTTGTTTGCCATCTATTCCAACTCTGTAAGTTCCATCAACATATTTGGGCAACTGCATAGGACGTGGGGAATCCCTGCGCTTCATAGCATTAATGGCAGATTCTTCATTGCCTGTAGTCTTCACTGACAGTCCTCTGGCTTCCCTATACATAGAATCTTTCACCACATCCCTCAGGTCAAGGGAGTTACATCCAAAATGGGGAGAAATGGTAGGTTGGTTCGTAACTGCATCCCTTGAAGGAGTTTCAGGAAAAAGAATCCGGTCAAACGCAGCCTCTGCTTCAGCCTTGCAGTCCAAAGACGACGCAGATGATGAACAAGAAGAGAATGAAGCTCTTGATGATTCTGTCGAAATTCTTTGTCTTTCATTCACACACTTGTTTAAGCTAGTATCCTGCAATGAACAGTATGCTGCATAAGTCCAGTTTCATGTGCATAGTGTCATATTTCTTGGTAGTTACAGATACATGCATCAGCATTAGTAAGTATCTGTACACTACACATGAAAATTCTCAGGAAAAAGAAAAAAGAAATGATTGTGCTGAAGTCCACGAGATGAGATGTTAAATCCTGAAAATGATTAAAACATTCTCAAGTCCTAACCTTCTACATTTTTCTCCAATAAATGGCAGTTAAACTCACTCATAAGTGATGGATAACATATCATAGAATCAGCAAATGCATACACATATTGTAACAAAATTTTCTGCCTCAATTTAAATACTAACTCAATCATTTTTTTAACTGCAAAACAGTAAAAAGTGTCAAAAATGTGGGTGAAAAGGCAGTTCTTACAGTTGCTGTTTGGCGATGATGTATGTTATTTGAATCTCCTTCCATGTTTCCATCACTGAAGTGCGAATTACCTAAGGAAAACATAAGCATTAGATGCAAGTTGGGAGTTACTCCAATAAAATTGAAACACATGATCAAGAACCAACAATGGTGATGCAAATCATATCAGCTGACCATTTCACAGAGAGGATCACCGCAGACAACACAACAAGATTTAGATTGTACTTACAGTTAATATTTGAAAAATAAATTCTCTTATAAACAATTTATCAAAAGAATCTTATCAATGTGTACTGTTATACAGAGTAAATCGAATTACCTCATGATACAAAATTTGAAAAAGAAAACGCAAAAACATCCCCTTCCTCTTCAAAACTGTGAAAGTCGGAAGCTAATTCATAGAAAAGCTATATATATATATATATATATATATATATATATATATATATATATATGACTATGCAACTGCAACAAACACTGATATAAGATTGGCATCCCAACCGTGTGATAAATCAATTAGCAATCAGAATTAGCACTAAAGCCAACGACTTAAATGATAAATCATATCAGAGTTTGCCAAGTAAGAATAAAAAGACAGAACAAAAAACACAACTGAATTAGTAAAATTGAACATTTTCCTAATAGAGGGAATACCAGAAGGAAGCCTCCTTTGGCCAATGCGGCGAGCCGTGAGAACATGCTGACGATCAAAGAGTTGGAAAATCCCAGTCATGCATCCTATCTGTTTCTGCAGATCTGGGTTGTCATCAGCTAAAGATTGCAGGAGTTTTGCTGCCATATTAACCTTTTCCTTTTCAATTGAACTAGACCCCTCAACCACCACAATGAGTTACACCCTCTTCATAAACCTGTATGATTTATTACTCTTAAATCTACTCACACAACACTGAAAAGTGATAAGCCCTTTTGAGAAAGGAATATAATTCTACTGCAAACAAAACCCCAATCCAGAACTTCACAAGCTCACAGGGACAATCACCATCCCAAAACAAAATCCAGTGTGCTCAAAAGATAAACCAAATAAACCTCCTCTCTTTTCCTTCACACTCAAAGATAAGTGCAGGCCTCAATTATATGCAGTCCTATCCCTGACAATTACAAAAAGAATGAAACAGTTTCCACAGTTCTGTAGTCCCAAATGGAGGGAAGCATTCAGAAAGATAGATCCTTTCCCAGTTGCAGGCAAACAATTTCCGACAAAAATGCATAAAATGCCCTCCAGCCAATTTCACCAAATTCAACAGATTTGGGTCCTCACAAACATTAAAGGTGAAAACTTTATCTCACTGAAGCATACAGTCCATTTCTTGTTTGTCAAAGTTCGCCCCACAATCTCCTCAGAACTTGCAAAAGCAAAATTTCAAGGTAAAAAGGAATGTCCCAGAAAGCTTAATCAATTGCCCCCACTAGCTTGAAAGAAAACCTTGATTAGTCTCACAAATGAAACCACACAATACCTTGTATAACAACAACCACAGACAATGCAGATAAAGAGAGATATAAAGAGAGAGAGAGAGAGAGAGAGAGAGAGTAATTCTATAGCACCCTCTTACAATGGACACAAAACAAGCAGAGGAACAATGGGTTCGGACACCAAAAATGAAACCGATGCAATGGTGTCTGTCTCAATGGAAGGAGAGGCAGATAGATAAGAGAAAAGGGTCTTTTTTTTTTCTTAATATTTTTTTCTTGTGGGTATCATAAGAATGTGCAATAACAATCTGGTTAGAGCTGGCACAAAGGTTTTTCCTTTATTTAATTTAATTTTTGTATTTTTATGAATTTGTTATTGTGTTAGTGGGGAGAAGAAGAGGGGGAGAAATGTTTGTGTGGGTCAGATGTCATGTAGGCTCTTCTATTAGATCACAAGTCCATGATCCATCCATGTGGGATGAAGATGTGTGGGTGTGGAGCTGTCTGCATGTGCATGTGATACTGTCAGGATAGAAACAGAATAGAGAGTGGGTGGAATGTGTGTTACACAAATAAGTGTCTTCAACATGAACATAACTCTTCCAATAAAATATTTGCAATTTAATTTTTTTAACAATCAGAATTTAATTTCCCTGAGTTTAACTACTGTGCATCATTAATACACAAATTTAATATTTTACACTAATAAATAATTATATTTAATGTAACTTTTAATATATAGTCATTGTAAAAATCATTAATTTATCTATATCATTTATGAGTGGACCATGTATAGTTACTTTGCAATATTCTTATGTTAAATTTGTTTTTTTTAAGCAATTCACAGAAGAATTAAATAAATGTTATTTTAGAGATTAATTTATCAATATTATTTTAAAATAATTGTTATAAAAATATATATAATACCTTCCATCTTATTAACTTATTATTTTAACAATACAACATAAGTTAGAATCAAACAAAAAGGATGCTTCTTATCTCTCTTATTACACCATTTAGCAGCTGCAAAGTGCAAAGTTTCAACCTTTCTTTTTCAAACAGTTGTCATTCATCATTTTCATTTTATCTTAGCCCTACGTTTTCTTATGCCACAACCCCTTCAACATTAAATTCATTATTATCCTTTATCAAGAAAATATATTTATTTATTTATTTAAATTTCATTTATTTTTCATTATTATTTGAGAGCTTCCAATTCCATATACAATTCTGATAATTCACACACACACACACACACACACACACACACACATATATATATATATATATATATATATATATATATATATATATATATATATATATATATATATATATATATATATATATGAAGAATTGAAATTTATTTGAAGATATAAATGTTTTTTAAGTCTTGGTTAGCTTGATCTATAAATAATTAACATATTTATTGAGGCATCTTTAAATTTGTAGGTCAATGAATGTTTAATTTTTTTATCCTTTTTATCTTTTATATAATTCAAATTTGAAACTTTATTTAAAAGATTTATTTTTTTTAATACTCTTGGTAGTTAAAATTGAAAATTTACAAAAGCAAATGATTTTTTCACATATTTTTTTCATTTGGAATTAAAATAAGTTAATTTCTTATTTTTGTGTGCTTTAAATTTCCTGGAAATTCATGCCTTTATTTTTATCCTTGGGACATGTACCGTAATCCACTAACTTTTGCTTCTATATTTTATCAATCAAAACTACTCAGCTAGGTTTTAAAAAAATAGTACTTATCACACTTTGTCAAATTTTTTAAATGATCAATAAAGTTTTATTTGTTGAATAACATTCTAAAATAACACTGTAAAATTTTTCAATCAAACTATTTAGATCATTTCTTTTTTAAAAATAAACTTTTTAACAAGCCAATATGAAAAAATTTCTATACATACACAAATTAATTTAAACTTATAAGAAAAATCTTCTTATATTTATTTTCTGCTAAGTTACTTGTAAAATATAATACAAACAAACTTGCAATTCATAATACATACATTTACCTAACAATGGCAACTTTGGCACATTAATAATATAATAAAAGAAAAGTCCGTTCCTTAACCTAATACACGGTTTGATTTCTTCAGTAATTTTTTTTACTTGATAAATATTAATAAATTTTAATAAAAATTGTAAAATTAACTTTGTCTTTCACGTTATTTTTTATTTCTAGTAAATTTATATATTATAATTAAAAACAATTGAATTCTTATATATTATTATTATTAAAATATAACTTAATTTATATATTAAAATAAAATATACGTAAGTGATAAGATAAAAAGATTTACTTAAAATAAATATAAAAAAATTATTTAAGAGATTTTTTTTATTTTATTAAAATTTTAAGATTATATTAAACCGCTTTATATAACTAAATTGATTATTATGTCATTTTTCTTAAATAGCAACAACATTTTAGGCGGGAATGTATATTAATATAATTAAAAAAATGTATTTTTTATAGATAATATATATATATATATATATATATATATATATATATATTATTACATATTGGGTTGTTCACAAGCTTAAATGTTCTGCATATACTTTTTTGTATTTCAATCAATTGAATTGAAAATTAAGTTAATATTTACTCTCCAATAATTATTATTGCCCGCCCACAACTTCTCCAAAGTGACTATATATAAATAATTAACTTTTAATTAAACTGATACCAAACCAATATAAAATTGATAAAGTTGATTAAGTTTTGTTAGTTGAACAAATTTTAATAAAAAGAAATTGATCAATTTCTTTAATATAATTTTTTATAAAAAATATAATATTTTTTATTTTTTTATCTAACTTTAAATAATAATTATTTTATTATATCTTTATCATATTCTAATTATTATTCATCTCATATTTTTTAATATATTTCATATTTATAATCTTGATAATAATTTTACTATTTATTTTTTAAATAATGTTATTTATAATAAATTTATTATATTATAATATTGAATTAAATTCGATTGGATGAGTATTTAAACCCTACACCAAAACATTGCGTTCAACTACTTATTTTATCAACATTCACATTTACTCTTTTAAAGTAAAAAATGGAATAATATTCTTGATTGTAACAAAATTCTCCTATTGTTCATCATTCATGTTAGAACATGACTCTCTCTCTCTTTAATTTTTTTTTTTTTTTCAATGTCAACCAAAACGATTTATTGTGTGGTTGATGAGTTGATTCATCATTAAAAACACGATACCATACATGGAGGCCATTATTCTGGATACCAAAAAGTCCTAGAGTAGTTTCAGCTAACACCTTGTATTTAATTCGACTATGGGGTTGACCGTTGAATACGAATGCACACACTTTCATGTTATATTTCCTTTTAAAAAGTTACTATATAACATATAATTAATTCTAGAAAATTGTGATGAATTAGTTCTTGTCCATATAAATATCATTGTTAACATTTTTAATATTATGGTCAAGATATCAAAACTTAAAATGTAAATTTGTATTTTATATAAAAACATTTTCTAAAGGAGCTGATCACAAAAATTGTTTAAAAATAAAAATAATTTATATATAAAACTCGTAATAAAATATTTAATTATGTGATTGGATAAAATGTGTTTTAAATAAAAAGAGTGTTTAATTTGAGAGGAGAGAGGAAAAAGAAAATGATGAAAAAGTGGGAATTTTGTGTCAGAAGCCTGGGGCACATGGCTCCCACCTATGACTAATACATTCCAATTCTCCCTGTAAGCACTACATGCTTTTACCCTTTCACTTTTTAAATAAACGTATAAATAAAAATAAAATTAAATTAACCACTTACCTCATGTATTAGCTTCGTTTATAATTTTCCTCAGCTTTTATTTGTAACTTATAAAAGTTCATTTCATTTTTTTTATATTTTTTTCTTATTTTTTAGAATATCAAACCTATTAACTTAAAAGAATAATTAATAAACGTTCCAATGGACCCTTAAGACCCACAAATGTCTCAAGGTTCTTTTGTTTTAACTCTTTGGACAACTTTCATCGTCAATACTTTAATCTATATCCGTTTTTTATTATTATTTTTGTTTTAATTTATCAAAATTTAATGTATATTAATTTTAAAATATAAATATTTATTTTTGAAATTATGAAATGTTTGAGAAAAGATAAACATAACAAAATTTGTAATTGAGGAAATAAGAAAGAAATATAATTTTTAAACTTTTAGTTATTATTTTATATTAAAAAATAAAAATATATATAATTTAAAAAAATATATAATATAAATATAAATTATATTTTATTATTCTTTTATGTTAAAAAATGATTATAAAAAGAATTTTATTTTATATATTGTTACAT